TGAAAACAGGCCTGTTTTTTGTCAAGAAAATTGCATGCATAGCTTTATGGAGGCTTATAAAGTGGTTCTGGGGGCTGGGGGGGGGCAAAATTGAGCAAAAACCAGCCCTTTTTTTGCTCATTTCTGCCCTCCCCAGCCCCCAGGAGTTCTCTGAAAGCCTCCTACAAGCTATGCATGGTCATTTTGGTGAAGGGACGGGGCTTCGGGAAGCAAAAAATGCTGTATTCAACGTATAAGACGCACCCAGATTTTCAGCCTCTTTTTTGAGGGAAAAAGGTGCATCTTATACTCCGAAAAATACGGTATATCACCTGTCACCCTTGAGCATACTTCCTATGTAGGGGTGAGCTTCAAAAATATTATCAAGGGGTTCTCTACCCGGTTGCTGGTTGGACGTGGCCACTTTGGGAGTGCCTAGTTGGCCTCTTGCACCATGGCAGGGGGAGCATTTTTGCCCTCCCTGGGCCCATTTCCGGCCTTCCTGAACTTCTGGGAGGGGCAGGTGGAGTGGGCAGAGCCAGCCAGGAATGGGATTTGGGGGTTCTCTGAACTGCACAGAATCTTAGCTAGAAGTTCTCCTGAACCCCTGCGAACCGCCAGGAGCCCACCCCTATAGCTATGGCTTATGGGGCATAGAATTCAGCAACAACTGGAATACCCCCATTTTTCTGTGTTTAATTAAATAATTTTGTTTGATCACCTACCTGCTTCTTAAATGATTTATAATATCTTGGCTTAGATCTTAAAATAAACTAACCTTAGAAAGTTCATAGAAATAACTTTCCCCATTCCCTGCAGTCATTTGCAGCATTCAGAAAGCTTTTCCAGATGATCAGATGATTGGGTTTTTTTTAGCATTGTTGAATAGAAAGCAGGTGGATAATGGGGGAAGGGGAAAATAAATATTGATTTTCATCAGTGGCTTGTGTATATTTTTAGCTTGCATGGAAAGGAACTACTTTATCTGCCAAATAAAAATATTGTATATCTGAAATGCCAATAAATAATTTGAATTGCTTCTATTACTTTGTAATGCAGAATCCTGGGCAGTTTGGAGACTCGGGTGGTGAATCTTCAGAAGAAGATTGTTCTGATGCAACTGTGAGAACCAGTAAAGTTTGTAACTCTGCAACCTTGTAATGATAAATCTACTTTAGCCTCATTAATCTGATCAACTGGCATTTTGATTCCACTCAGAAAAAAAAACTTTTTCATTCCGTCTTTGAGAAGATGCTTCTCCACCCCATCAACTATATGATCTGCAATAACTTGAATCTTTGGAGAAATGTTCTGATGAATTGGTTTCTCAATGAGCATTTCAATCATGAATGGCAGGGATGTATTTTACTGAATAATTGAACTGTTGTACCATATTTTTGGCATTTTAACACTTTTTACTGATCAAGATGATCACTGTCCATAGGCAAAATAATTGGTTACAAAAATAGAAAGAAAACTGAAAAAGAATCATTTTGAATTTTAAGAGAGCATGTATAGACAGAATAGAATTTGTCATTACTTGGCCATATGACTCTGAAGGGCTGACAGGTTAAAAACGCAGCATTGATTTCACTAAAACTGCATGAGATAACCTATGAACAAAAAGTCATTTGTATAACCAGTGTAACTTTTTCAACATAAAGTATTCACATTCCAGGGAAAGAGTATCTGAGATGCTGTTCCTCAGCAAAAGAAAATGGAAATTAATGGTTTCATTTTAAAATTTATTTTATTGTTAGTTGATTGCAAAAATCTTACAATTGCAATTACAGCTTCTCTCCATATCGTCATCATACTGGTGTGAGGACAGCAGATAAAAGTATTGAAAGATTGATGGATAGATGCACATACTGTTTTGCTCTGTTGACTTATTCTCTTTATATTATGCCTTTTACTTGGTTCCTTCAATTAAAAATACATGTGTCAAATTAATGCTGAACACAAACCATGGAAGATATATATATACCTATCCTGAGGACTTTCCTGAAGGAAGAAATTAGAACTGTTCCCCCTACCGCTGGGGGATAGTCCAGCCTATGCCACATAATTTGTCTTCCTACTGTTTTCACTAATATGGTTTTGATAGGAGAGTCACTTATTAAGCTTGATAGAAAGTTACATAACCTTTTTTTTAAAAAAATGGCAATTGATGAAAATGCTCTTTGAAATGGCTTGAAGGAACATTAAGTCGTATTGTATTGTGGATCTGGATTGGTATCCCTTTGTCTTTTTTTACAAATATGGTTTACCATTCATCCTATTTCCTATAACTAGAATGTTCAAGAAGAGCAAAACAAGTAACACTGAAGTCTGGCTTTCGAATCAAAGTGTTAATCATTATCTTTCAATGCTTCCTTCCTTCACCATGTTGGCTAAAGAATGACATAAAGCAAGCCTTTTGGTCAGCGTAGCAGGATTTAAGTTAATGAGTATCAAATGCATCCTTCACCCCATCTGCAAAATGAAAGGCAAGCATGGGTTGACATTTTGCTGCTGTTTGTTTACATTTGATTTGATATGATTTTTTTAAACAGATTAATAGCCTTGTGACAAAATGTAGAAAATTCTTTATTAATATTGAAGAACAGTATTGTATGAGTTAAATTATTCCATACTTTAAAAATTCTGTAGCTGGACTACACGAATCATAAATTATTTCATTATTTATTATAATTTCTGTAGATTAATGATAGGGCTTGTTGTACTGCAGCATGTCAGTCCTACTTCAGCTATGCTGTGGCCTATACTCCAGGAGGAATAGTAACCAAAGTGCTCTATGTATAATGCAATTTAATAATCTTACACAGGCCACACTGATTTTACTCAATTGCAGCAGCCAATGGAAAACAAACATGGCATACTCTGATAAAAATTGCATGTGCCATGAGTGTAAAGTATTTAAGAAACAAATGATGCTTCAGCATGCATTAGGTTCCCTGTTGCAGTCCATAACACTGTGAGTTATTGTCAGATTGAAATATAAAAGAATTTATACCTGCTCACTTGAAGTGGCACCTCCTGCTAAAATAAGAGATTCCTCAAGTTTTATATCTGAGTGAACTGAGTTTTGCGTGTTCAGAACAAAATTGCTTCTTGTGCATTCTCTATTTTCCCAAGGAGGAACTACTTTTTTAGGGAGATCTATATACTGGTGATACTACACTCCCCATCAATGTCATTCCAACTATATGGGCCTGACCACAATTGTCTAGGAAGATTGCTGCATCTGCCAGATCCATGGCAAATCCCTAATTCAGAAATATTATTTGGTGCTTGAGCTAGGCATTTTTTTAAACTGACAGGAACAACTATCACGCCTTTTCCCTTTTTAGGTTCAATCTTTCATAAAAATCTTTCTTTTATCAGCACATTATGTGTCTGCATTATGAGGATAATCTCCAAACAAGTATCTGCTTTGTAAGTAATGTTAGCAATAAAGACACGCCCTCCCTATGGCTCCAGGTTGGAGTTTTAACAGCCCACAGATAGCTATGTGTTTGGAAAAGAATGCTCCTTTTTAAAGAAATGGCAAAATAAGAGTGTCAGGATTGACAAATGCTACATGCTGTTTTCCCCCTAATATGAAGTACTTAGGATTGTTATCTCAGTGCTAATGTTAGCCCACTATTTCTTCTATGAGAAGTTCCACACTAAAGACTTGCTACCCTGGAAAAAGAATACAGAAGTGTAGGACTTATCAATTTGACAGGCAAAAATTATCTGGGATCCTGAATGAAGGATTTTCTTGTGATGATTTAATTGCAGATATTGAGCCTGGAATCTTATGCATGCAAAGTATGTATATGGCCAATAGTTTCTTCCCAGAAGTAGTCTCTACTTTAGTGGAGAATGTGTCCAATTTAATTATCTTTGATGTAGATACTGGTTGTTTCTTTTTTGGTATTTGCACTTATCCTCATCTCCAATGACATGCTGCACAATGTAATTCTTCAAGAGACTATTTTATGATTTAAGAAATAATTAGGATGAGTAGGGTTTTCTAAATCTTACACTCTCCTGCTAATATGTAGCCTCTGTATCTCATTAGACTGAAGACATAGTATTTTAACTTACCCATATCCAAAGAGCTCTATTTATTAGGAGACACTGGTTTAAAAAGCAGAATGAATTTGGGGGGCCCAGGAATATACTATCTAGCAGATATTTTGGATGAGTCTTAATATTTGTTATTGATCAATTTACAAACATTCCAAATGGCTGGAAATCCATGGTTTTAGTTATTAAATACAATAAAAGGATTCTACTAGATACATTTTTACTAAATTATACCTAAAATAGTTTGTTCAGCTGTGAACAAGCAGAAGAACTTTTGAAACTGAAATTTTAACCATGTGTGATCATCCTACTTTTCCCAGTTCAGTTGTCCTATTTATCACTTATAACTTCATAGCATTCCCTAAAGCACAAATTAAAAATGTCTTAACAAATATAATCTCACAATTGCAAAGAGATCCAAATTAAGCAGTGTTATTGCTAATAATAGTTACACTGACAGCTGGGCTAGAAGTTATGATCACTGGGGGAAAACAGCCAATACAAAAAGTTCTCCTTCTGTTATAAAGTTAGGTACATAGGCAATAGTTATACTCCACCATGATGTAGCCTGACTCTAAACAGGAGATGTTGATTGTTGTGTTATTACAACAGACCTGTGCATGTTTTGTTTCAAGAACGATAGAATAATTAATTTAAAACTTTGGATGTTGACGAAATCCATTTTAAATATTGGTCCAACATACATAGTTGATTTTTTAGTATATGCTGGTTATCTTTTTTAAAGCTTTCTCTTAAATGTGAAGGTTAAAAATTTCTTTTAAATGTGGAAACATTCTCAGGTGAATTTGGGCATTTAAAAAACCTTGCTGTATTCTATTGCCCCAATAAAAAGTACTATTTTGGCTTCTGGAGCATTAGTTCCTAGCACTAAATATTAAGAGAGATGATCAGAGCTATGGGGATAGATACTAAGACACAGAGAATATTAACTCCTTTTTCCAAGGAAGCAAGAGTTCTGTTTACTGGAAGGGAGCCACCATAATTTTTCACATATTATACTGAATTTTCATTCATAGAACCAGCTAGCACAAAAAATGCAGTTTTGTAATAGGAAAGGGAAATAGTACTGTTATTGTTGTATTAATTCTTTGATAGAATCTTACAGACTACAAAGGAATAGCAGAATTTAGATTTAGTTCTTAGATTAAATTTTCAAACCAAAAGCCATAAATCAATTCATTTCATTCAGTTTATGACACAGTATTGCCATCTGTGAATTAGTGTGAGTTTTCCTGCTGTGTTATGACTGTTCTGTGCAAGGGCATTACAATATTGTAACTACCTGATGAAGGGGTTGACAGTGGCACAGCATAAGAATAAGCAATGCAAACCAGAGATAAGCTTTTGATTGAAAAGCCTTCTTTGGCATATTTTCATGATTTTTACACTCTATTCTTACTTGCTGGGTCCAGTTATGGTACAATCGATATGTTGGCTAATGGTTAGTGGAAATTATTATGTTTATATGTCATATAGAATTATAATTTTATCTTCTGTGCTGTCTTTTCTCCCTACTTTGAGGCAAACTTGATTTCTTTTTGTATTGAACAGTGTATAACAATTGGGAACAAATGACTATCAAATAGATGCATGGAATAAAAAGCCAGTGTACCTCATTACGTGTTTGCAACTTCAATTTTGAATATAAATGTATGACTCAAAGGTATACCTATGTGCATTCAAAATCACCATTTTCCCCTGTACAGTACAGTTATAGTTTCCAAACTGTAAAGAGATGGTTTGATAACCTCTTTAGGTAAAGGAAATGTAATATACAAATTATTCTGCATTGTAAGTGCTATATAAATGCAAGGCTTGACATTTTCAGCTTTCAATTCAGTTTAGTATGCCTGTTGATACTAAAGGACAACATGAATGTAAATATACTTTTCATTCCTCTCTATATCCTCTATTAAGGAGTACTTATAACATCAGCCTATTACTGCCATCTCCTGAGGACATGTTGAAAGTATAAAAAAATGAAAGTATAAAAAAGTATAAGAATTGCAACATAATATATATGGAACTAAATTAAGCCTTCTGCATGCCAGCCCACTGTTTCTTGCTGAAGAATTAATTAGCACTTTGAAACAAAGTCCAAGCAATGTTTTTCCTTCATTATTTAATGTGTGCAATTGAAACATGGGAGCTGATTAAGGTCTTGTTAGAGTTATAAACTGACTCATATGGCACCACATGAAGTCATTTAACCAAATTATCAACTATTTTCAGTACCATTTATCAGAGAAATATGTCATGTCTGTGAAAATAAACAGATTACAATTTTCATGAAGTTTTACCTGGCAAGTAGTATTGGAAAAAAGAATAGGGTACTTAAGATATAATTGCTGCGCATACTGATGCAAACCAGACAATCAGTTATAATTTGCCACAGTGTATTTTTCAGATCATCTTTTATTATTGTTTTCTTGGCACACCACAAAGATCTAACAGAAACCATCCTAAGAGGTTTGCTAAGAAGACTGATATGTTTAATACAATGTTGACATTTGTTTAGAGCAGGGATAGGAAATGATATCCCCTTTATGACTTGTGGACTTCAACTCCCAGAGTTCCTGAGCCAGCCATGGAAGTCCACGAGTCAAAATGTTGTGGGAGTTGAACTCCACAAGTGGGGGCATTGTTCCCCACTTCTGATTTAAAGAATAGCAAAGACCACCTCAAATAAACTAGGGGAATATTCACAGAAAAACTAGTAACTGATACTGAGCCTTCTGATTGCTTTGATTTCTAAAATGGCAAACTTGCATTACTGCGAACATCAGGCAAACAAAGTCTTATCACGTTCCTTAACATCTTGTCTTCTATCCATTTCTTTGTTGTAGTACAAAAAGGATGAAACAAGGTTCTTTCCTGAATTCTGAAGCTGCAGCTTGATGCAAGACAAGCAAGGCCAAGGCCATTTTCAAATAGGAAATTAATGGCAATATGGGGTTAACTAACACTTGGATTAAGAACAAGGGACATATTAAAATTGGATTTTCCCAACTATGAAACACTAGATTGAACAAATAAGTAATATAACAATTTCAATTATTATATTCAAAGTATATTCTTTTCTGCTTAATATAGCAATTATGTAAAGATAAAAATTTTATTCTGAAAAGTGAAAAATGCAATTTTCCACAGAGCATACTGTTAGAAAATTTCTTCAGGCTTAACCTGAAATCTTCTAGGCCCCACAAATATTTCATGTTATATAGGAAATCATAAAATAAGTTACTTATTAAAATTTTTAATAATGAGAAAGATAAGAAGCAAGCCATTCCTACATGGCTGTAGCTCCCTCTATATCCTTTTTCTTTCTCATATTCCAACAGGCGAAAGGAAATAATACAAAACCTCACTGCATTCCTCACATTGGAAGGAAATACAATTAATCATTGCCATTATTTAAACAAATCAATATTTGGCCCAAATACTACATTGTAACTGCTTCATGTGCAAAACAAATGCTGTTCATCTGACAAGCAATTTCAGGCTTATTTCCTCAGTGATGCTAGGATTTAGATTTCCTCAAATCAATAGATGCAGGTCCACTTGCCCCCCCCCCCAAATTCTGACTTCTGGATAAACTAGATCACAAGTAATTTTATAAAATGGGACATACAGTCTCATCTCTTTTTTTAAAAAACAGTATTTTTAAAGACTCATCTTTATACAGTAGGGAAAAAAGATGCCCCAAACAGCGATAAGTCCAAAGTTCAGTGATAACAGACAACAGATTCAAAATACCTATTTTCCAATTCTCCCTTAAATAGAATTCCACGTCATCTGATATCTGTTTAGGGGTGGTCTATTCAGTTGCATTTCTTTCCATTCAGCAAATGACTTTTCTGTTCACTTTTGTCTAATTTGAAATGTTTCTGACTGAATTTCTTAATAAGAGTCCCAGGGATTAATGCCATCATGGCTATAGCCAACATCTTGAATAAGTTACTCCAGGATAAAATGTTATCCAGGGAAGATATCTGTGAAAGTACAGAGCCTGTCTGGACACAGATAAAATTATAGGGAGTCAATCCTGTAAGTGAAAGAGGAGAATTCTAAGATTAGAAAAATGTATACATTTCACTAGGTCTGTGATAAGATCTAGCCTGCAAACATAAAAAGGCTTGAATATACAAATGGAGGGGAATAAATCTGTACATCAAAGGAAGTGAAAAACCATAAATTTACAAATGTCTTTGGATAAAATAAAATATTTGCAAGTTTCATGTAAATAAGTCAATTTCTCTACACATGAATAAGTTGGAATCTTCTGCTTACCTGCATAATTGTTATTTTTTTTCTTCAACCTGGATTAACATCTTAAATCACATTATAAAAATGGTACTGATAAAGTTTTTCTTTATTAATCACTTTAAGGAGAATTGTTGAAATTATGGCATTAAATTGGAGATATTTTTCAATGTTCACAATAAGAAGTAATATATTCAACAATAACAAAATTCATTGTTTTTCTGTTAGAACTTTCTGGCAAAATATAAGGGAACCATAGAAAAATTATGTTTTTACTATGTGATTTGTAAATTATTTATGTATTTGCTTTATGTGTTTATTGGGCTAGCATGCAAGGGAATGAAGCTGGGGTTGCTATCTGCACTTGTGAAAAGCAGCCACAACCAGGCAGAAATGCTTCTCACTCCCATTTCTTCAAGAATCAGCTCAGTTCATGCTTTATGTTAAAGGACAGTAAAGGTTTATAGTGTCAGAAACCTGTGAGAAAATAGGCTCATTAATTCATCTAGCTCCTCCACTCACACAACTTACTTACAGGAATCCATGCCATTATTCCAGGTGTTTGGCTAATTGAGCAACCCCTCCTCTTCCTGGTGCTTTTAGGAACATGCTGTTATCCATACACAGCCTCATCTTACTTTGTGGTTGTGTAGGAGAAAGAAGGATAAGATGACAGCAAACAGAGGAGGAAGTGTGGTGACTGACATTTGGGATTGTACAGCTATTACGGGCAACCTAAAAGGCCTACCAGTCAACTGTCAGGACTACCAGTAAGCAGCACATAGTGGTTTGATTCCTGCTTGGAGCTTGATAGCAACTAAAAGAAAAGCAACCTTGCTGAGGTAGCACCTAAGCAAGGGATTTTGGAGGAAGGCATAGGTTGTATGCCACTTTAAAAAGTTCACTTGTTATAGGAACTCACCATCGAAGGATTATTTCCATGACTTCATCAATTTACAAATCCTATGAAGGTGAAGTGAACCCAAGGCAACAGCCTATTATTAGGAAAGCTGTGTGGTAGAATAAATATTTTATACAATTATCTTCTTAAGCTACAGTGTGACCATACGCATTGTTAAAACAACCCTAAGAATCCTTCAAGCTATGTGTAGCCAAATCTATCTGTCTGTCTGTCCGTCCGTCCGTCCGTCCATCCATCCATCCATCCATCCATCCACTCACCCACCCACCCACCCACCCATCCATCTCACTGAATTTGAATAATAGAAAGAATGAGATGCAAGCATCTATTATAATGCAAAAGTGAAAAAAGACCAGATAATACATTAAACAATATGGATGTAAATATGCTTCCTTTGTTCTTACCTATGAGAACAGAGAAGAAAAACTGAGTCACATTGATGTTCAAGACTGGAGATGCAAGATTCAGAAACCAGTTTGGAGTCATGGGGAGCAGTCTCAAAAATAACAAGAAGAAGAACAAGGAATGTCTATTTTCTTCTACCTGTCAAAGGAAGCCCCGCCAAAAATGATAAAAATCAGGAAGGATCAAACTGCTTTCTTCCACACCTGCTTTTTCCCCCAAAAGGTTGTATAGTACTGTAATATATGTTCTATATCAGTGATGGCGAACCTTTTTTGGCTCACGTGCCAAAAGTGGGGGGAGCGCAGGGGGGTTGTGCGTGGGTGTGCCACACCTATAATGCTATGCACAAAACCACAGCATGCATGTGTACACCGTGACCCGTCAAAACCGCGTTCCACAAAAGCGCGGTCGACGAAATCGCGTATGTGACGTCATCACAACGCAACGAAAAAGATAAAAAAATTGAAATAAAAATTAAATTACAGCAAGCCGATTCACATAAAGGTAAGCGTTAGGTTAAGGGTTAGGGTTAGGTTAAGGGTTAGGGTTAGGTTTAGAGCGTTAGCGTTACGTTTAGCGTTAGGTTAAGGGTTAGCGTTAGGTTTTTCGTTAGGTTAAGGGTTAGGTTTAGGGTTAGGTTTGGGGGGTTAGGGGAAGGTTTTAGCTTTATTTTTACATTTTTCGATCTTTTTCGTCGCGCTGTGATGACGTCACATACACGCTTTCGTCGACCGCGATTTTGTCGTCCGTGGTTTTGTGGTGGAACCTGTGTACACAACCAGCACTCCACCCCCCCCCATTTTTGGCATGCCTTTTTCACCCTCTCCAGGCTCCAGGGGCGTTATAGGAGCCTGGGGAGGGCAAAAACAGTCTCCCCCGCCCACACTGGAGGCCCTCTGGAGGCTTCAGGAGTTTCCCTCCAGAGCGTGAAAAACCGGCCCTGCAGGCAAACCAGAAGTTTTAGCCCCCCGGAGCCTCCAGGAGGCTTTCCTGAACATCCCGGAGGGCAAAGAACGACCCTATGAGCAAACCAGAAGTCATTTCTGGTTTGCTCGTAGTGTCGTTTTTTGCCCTCCAGAGTGCTCCTGAATGCTCCGGAGGGCTAAAATCAGCCCTACAAGCAATCTGGAAGTGACTTCCGGTTTGCTCGAAGGGCCGGTTTTTCGTGTTCCGGAGGCTTCAGGGAAGCTCCTGAATCTCTGGAGGGCGAAAAATGGCCTCAAAAGAAGGGCGAAGTCAGCTGGCCAGTGCACATGTGCAAGCCTCGTGTGCCCTGAAAAATGGCTCCACGTGCCACCTGTGGCACACGTGCCATAGGTTCGCCATCACGGTTCTATATAATATTCAATTAGTCAACTGTTCTTTTCAGAATCACATCCACAAGAGAATGGGGATGAGGGAAGAATACTATATTTCTGCTAATTCTCCCTTCTCCTTTGAAATCTGAGGAGCCTGAGGAAACACAGTTATGGAAGAAGGAATGCCTGAAAACTGCATTTTGGCTTTTAAAGGCAGGTTTTTTTTTCCTGTACCTTGGACCCATCTATGACTGGAAAGAGTCCTTCCAAATGTGGGGTACTAGTTAGGCTCTATGACAGCAGACATTCTCCACTGGCACAAACATTGAAATAGTTTGCTTGCGGAAGGCATAGTTACCATGGGGTCCTTGTTTGTGTTCTATTGATTAGGTATTGGCCCATACTAGCAAAAAGCATCTACTGTAAGTTATGTAGCAATTGTACTGCACATTTTTTTTAATGGATCTTTTTCTGGCTTATGTAGATAATTGCACAATCTTAGAAAAAAGTTTGAAGAAATATCTGTGGAGATCATGTTTGTGGCTCTATGCTCTCTGAATCATTTTTTAATCTTCTAATTTGGATTACTAATAACTTTCTAACTTGGGTTGTTAAAATCTTACAAAATTATGTAACACACTCATGAAGGAATACTCATGAAGGAATATTTTTAGAACTTCAGTTAATGCATGTAAAATCTCTAACAGTAAACCTTGTCAGCTAGAATATGGTCACAGAAGCATGGCAAGATGCCTTCTGCCAAGCCAGACCACTGGGCCATCTAGCTTTGAATTTTGTATACACTGACTCGGAGCAGGTCTTCAGCTTTTCAAATAGGTTTTTTTCCTTGCAGTGCCAGAAATTGAACCTGAGGCATGTTAGGTGTGCAGCCATATACAATTGAATTCTATTATATACAATTCTTATATATTACTAAATAAAATGTAATTGTGATTAGCTCTTTGTTACCTTCCTCTGAAGCATGGTGACTTTATCAGGAAAATAGTAGGTAATGAAGTTTTTCCCAAAAATATTGGATAGTCCATAGCAACAAGTAGCACCCACAGAAGTCAAAGTAGAACATAACAGAAGTCCTATCCATGGTCCAAAGAGAGCCCCAGCAAGGATGTTCTGTTAGAGCAAAACTAGATAGTGATCCAGTCCATTAAAAACTGGGGAAAGCATTAAGAGCTTTATGAACAATAAGAATATAAGAACAGCCTTGCCTGGTCCATTTACTTCATAGTGTTAATAGCAGTGGTCAGTGATGTCTCTGCAAAATCCATAAACTAGGTATAAAACACAGGTGTTTGCTGCTCTTAATATAATACAGTATACTGTATTGTAAGCCTGAATGTGCTATTTATTATACATTTGTCCAACAAGAATTTTTCCAGTATCCCTCAATAAAATGATCTGGTTGTCCATCCCTGCCTCCCAGCTAACTCAAAAAAATCATATTATGTCAGGTTGAAATAGTAAATGGAATATTAGAAATAATTCAGAATTATAAGAATAATGAACCAATTTTACCTGAAGATAGAGGCCAATAAAACATAATTTGGATTGAAATCATGGTGAGGAGGAGGAATGAGGATGAATTATTTTTATGATTCATCTGAAATTCTGCTCAGTGGCAACAGATGCTAGAAAGAAAGCTGTTATACTGTCTGTTATACATGCTTAGGCTGGGTTGGAAATATGACTAGTGTATACTTTTTAACCTTACAACCTTCTGACAAGTGATTCCTTGGGTTTAGTATATGTTCCTGATTGCTTAAAAGATACATTTATATAATATAAAATATATACTCATCTTTTCAGCAAGATGGAACATTTATTTATAATACTTATATGGCTATCCATATTGTAATCACAAACACAGGGCAGTTCACAAGGCAATAAAAACAGCACCTCCTAAAAGTCACAATCAAATCTCAGGCCTCCCAAGGCAATACTCTCTGAGACATCCACATATTATATCCTGGAGGGGGTCTTCCTATGAATGGACAAAATAATACATTTCTAGATTTGTTCATGAAAGGGTTCCACAAAAATAGCAGGAAGAATATATATGTTATGGAAGAATGAATTGTATATCTAACCACACAAGTATAGAAATAATTATCTTTGCAACATGCTGTAAAACTAATCTATGACTTTTATATCATGTATACATACCAGAAAGCTAGAGCCAGGTATGGCAAAAGTTTGTTTGTACAGGTAAGCACTGCAGAAAAGCAGAATCACGTATGCATGGTGCTCTTTATTGTAGTAATGTAGAAATGCTGCAAGTTCTTGTAGTTCCTTTAGATCTGAAGGGAATTTTAATGACCTGATAAAGAGCATAATTAGTTTAGTTGCAAAATGATTGGATTAAAAGGAACATAGGATAATTATGAGATTAACCTTGAAGATTAACAGGTTTATTGCAACATGGAGCTCTCACAACAAAATAAATCAGTTCAATCTTACAAATATTGGTATTTGGCTTTTTTTGCTACTTAACATATTTTTCAAAATGAGGTTAGAATGAAACACCAAATCAAAAGTCATCTTAATTTTTCTTTTAAAAAACAAAATATTAACATTTTGTATTATTTTTAGTTCAGACAAGACATGTATGTTTAACAATAACAGTATCTGCAGGCCTAGAAAAGGAGTAGTATAAAATATAGGAAAATGGATTTTGTGATGGAAACAAGCAGCTATTAACATTCCTCAAGTATCCTGCTTAGGACTGACAAATGTGACCAGCGAAGGTCACTCAACTGGCTTTATGCTAGAACTAACTCTCCTGATTTCTAGACTGATGTCTTAACCATTACACTAAAATGGCTCTCTGTTGGAAATATACAATCACTGAAATACAGTTGCTCAAACTAATAGAAAATCATGCAATAAATATTTGAAAATGGACCAAAATTCCAGTTAAATTATCCTACTAATGCTGGTAGCAGAGACCAAAATTTCCAATTTTCCTTCATAACTATCTTCCTCTCCCTTTCTTGCATCCTTCACTAAAAAACTAAAACTTTGTCTCCAAAACCCTTACCATAATTTAAATGTAAAAAATAAAAGCTGTATACATTTGTGATATCCATACAATAAAAGCCACACTCAGCTTTTAAACAATGTGTTCTTCCTTTAACGGTGGCTTTCTAATTGTGTCATATATTGTTTCATTTCAACAAGCTCCAATACTCATAAGAACAGCTCTATTGATTCAGGCCAAGATTCATCTTGGTCCAGCATTTTTTTTTCTTACAATGACCAATTTGATACCTCTGGTATTCTTGAAAAAAGGACATAGTTCTCTCACACTATTGGCATGCTGCACCCAATCAAGATATAACATTGAATCTTTGTTATCAACAGCTTTTGTTAGAACATTTATCCAGGAGTCTTATCTAGAAATCTTTAAAAACACCCAAGTTAATAGACATCACATTTTGTGATAATGAATTTATTATATATTGTCTGAAAAAAATGTCTATTGTAAACTATGTGTGCTATCAATTTAATTCAATGACCCCTAGAATTTTAAGAGAAAATGAAAACAAACTCACAATCAATCTAGTCTTTTCTCTAGAAAGTAGCTTAACCCCTGATCATTTGTACTGGGATTCTTTAATTAAACAATGGTACCTATCAGGACCCCAGAAAGATGCCTTCTCTGTAGCAGTGAGTAGAGATGCTGTTTTTATTCAGTGCTTCTATAGGGGAAACTTGCTGCTCCTAGTAGGTACAGCAAGCAACAATAAATGTCTGAAACAATTACCGAGGATCCTTAGAAACACTTGATGGCGTGTTTCTAAACCTAATTCTTATTATGCAACTGCTCTCCACCCACAGAATGTTATGGACCACGAGAGGCAGCAAGATTCATCCTGATATGACATCTCATACATCTTTCGACAAACAAGTGTCGCTCAAAGCAGGATCCTCAAATCACTGTAGACAAGCGCGCTATTGCGACTGGTTTCGTAACAACTTCGGAGTCCTCGTCAGGCAATGGTCAATTGACCATTGCCGCGTCTGCGAAGTGTCGATGATTGCGTTGTATTTTCCAATCGGCTCACAGCGTCATTAGCCACTTTCAGCAAAAATCCCGACTGTCGCCCTTTGGACCTCGAGATCCGTCGTGAACGGAGATAACTCAAGTGCTGGCCGCCGCTAAAGGAAAACTCGCTCGTCTTCCTCCGTGTACTTCGGGGCAGCGACTCCGAAATAAAGAGGAGGCAGCCAACTCACCTGCTTCCCTCGCGCGGCCCTCCAGGCAACCAGGCAGTTAGCAAATAAAGGCCCGAGGTGGCCGCTGCCAGGACCAGCAAGAACCCCACCAACGACCGCATCGCCGCCGCTCATAAGGGAGACTAAGAGGAACAGAAGAGGCGCAGGAACTAAAGGCAAAGGCCGATGAACCGCATACTCACACTCTGGCGAGTGACACAAGTTCTCCTTCCTTCCATAGATTAAAATAAATGGCGAAACTTCCTGTGCCAAGAGGACATGCAGGAGTTTGACCCGTCATTCTGTCTGTTTCCCAACCTCGACAACTTTTTAAAGATCTACATCTTAACACTTCAACTCCCAGAATTAAAAATTGCGACGTTGAGAACCGCTGCTTTATAGGAGATTAAAGTCGTGTGCGCTGCCCGTAACTGCCGTTGATAGGTTTTTCTTTCCCCAGAGACATAGAGCTGTACCTGAGCTAATCTCGGGAAAAGGTTTTAATTGTATTGCTGCCGATTCTGTGCTGTTTTATGGGTTGCAGGCCGCCCCTTTATTAATAACTGAACGAGTGGACGAAAGTGAGCAGGGTCGGATCTGCTTAAGTTACGATTCCTCTCCGAAGCATTAGAGTCGCCCAAAAGAACAGAAACTTAAAGACATGGGTTACGTTAAAACCATGGTTTAATCGTGACACTTCAAATAATAGCTTAACGCACGTAGACTCACAAATCATAAAATCAGAGTTTGGAAGCCAGGACGAGTTATATTAAACCAGAATGCGTTTGGTTTGGGTCTAGGAGAAAGTCACGTTGAGGGGGCCCGACTGCCTGCCTGACGTCGGCGAAGTAAACCGAAACGGAGCTCCGTCCGAACTGTCAGAACGAGGCCAGACGTGGGTCGAGCTACCCACAATTGCGCGGGGCCGAGGGGAATGCTTCAAAAAGGGCCTCGCTTCATCTCGGGGATGAGGGAAGGGCTTCCATTATTGAATACGCGCCGCCTGTGACGCATTTCCGGCCTGGCCGTGGAGGCTGGGGCCTATGTACAAGTGGATCTGTGAGACTCTGCGGTCTTGGGTATCGTCGCCTTCCTCTTGTCACCGGGATGTGGAGCCTTCTTTACCTCGACCGCGGAAGAGACGGTATCGCAGGTGAGAGCGCGACGTTCCTCTCGGGGCTGCTGCAAGCTAGTCTGGGCAATCGGGAAGCTTCCCGGAAAGAGGAGGAAAGAAAGGCAAAATACTTCCGTGATGCTGCCCCGAAAATTCGGCGTGAGTCGAGAGAGACTCAACGGATGCGGGGAAGGATCTGAACGCCTGCATGATAGCCCGAGCTGGGGTTAAAGTGGGCGTCACGTCAGCTCCTTCAGCCGTGACTTCCTGGGTCGTCTTCCCTTTCTCTCGACTGGCATTCGCTTTGTCCCTCATATCTTTGTTTTGCAATTATTAATTTTTATCCCGCCTTTGTTAATTGTATAAATAATTCAAGGTGGCGAAAATACCTAATGTTCCTCCCCCCACTCCAAAGTCACCCAGCTGGCTTGGATGCCTGAGGCGGGGCTACTACACCTGCCAGCCTCCTGGTTTCTAGCCTGATGCTTTCACCACTTGACCAAAGTGGCTCTTAAATCCCGATTCCTTCTTCTGGGATGGATTCACAGAATTAGGAAAATTGTGGCTGGATGATGAGGTCCCCAAACAGAGGGTCTGGTAGCACCTTCTCCAGCTAACAATATTTTATTAAAAGGTGTGCATGTTTATAAGCTGCAACTCACTTCGTCAAATGCATAGAGGTACTGAACCGAGGTAAGATTTAAATTGGGATGAGGTAGGGGGGCAGGGGGGAAAGACATTATGTTCATGTGGATGCAGCATGGCCTCATCCCTGTAGCACATTCCACCACCGGAGAATTGCTCCCATCATTTTGGCCTCCTGGAAGGGTATTAAAACATGGCTTGGGGGGGGGGGGGCTCACCACTGGAGGTAGTTAACAGGGGTAAGAGGACCTCTTCACCATCTCTTAATTTTGGATTTTATATAGCTTTTAAAATTTTAATCTGCAAGTTTTAATATTATAATATTCATGTTTGTTTATTTAGAGGATTTATATGACTCAGTGATGCTGGGTGGCTTACAAATAATAAAAAACCCCAATATTAAAAGAATAACAACAGTAACTCCCAATCCCCTTGGTGACAATCAGTCAAATGGGCTTGATGGGCTACCTCTCATTCTGGGTTCCCCAGGCCTATTGGCAAAACCAAGTTTTCAGGGCGTTGCAAAAGAGTGTCAAAGTGAGGCCCAGCCTAACCTCTGCAGGGATAATAGTCCAAAGGAAGGGAGCCACACAGAGAAGTATATTATACCGTTCTTTTTGTTTCATATGTAAACCACCCAGAGTTAACTTACAGGGAAATGCGAATTAATAAATGAGAGACAGATTAGAACAGGGCTGTCAAACTCCCGACCCATAGGCTGGATGCATCACATGCTGGCCACACCCACACTTGGTTTAGTGAAGGGGAAAAAAGTCCCAATACGCCATGTGACGCCACATGACGACATGAGTTTGACACCCCTGAATTAGAGCATTTCAACTCCCAGGATCTTTTTATTATTGTCAGTCTCAGCAAATATTTTGGAAAAAGTCATTTTTAATGTGATTTAAACATGTATATAATTCTTTTTGCTGCAGAGTATTAATGAATTATTTTTATGAATATCACAGATCATATAATGCCCCAGTTATTGATATAGAGAATTTTAAACAATAATATGAGCCTTTAATTTATAGTTGTGTGAACCCGTTCTTTAGTCAGCATACTGTTCATTAAGCACATTTTTTTTCTCTTTAGTTCCCAATCCTATGTAGAAGAGCCTGATCAGGAGCAAGCAAAAAGACAAAAACTTGGTAATGTCTACTTTCTGTGGTGGTTTGTCATGACTAAAATATAACTTCCTAAGTATTTGAAAGGATTTTATTCTTCCTTGTTCAGAGAGGTTTGACATATATTTCAAGAGCAAATTGTGATAATTAACAATTATGAAAAATGTTTTGAATTAAAAGTTTGAGTTGAGTTTGAGTTTAATTTTATTTATAGGCCGCCCAATCCCGGAGGACTCCGGGCGGCTTACAGCGAGGGAAAGAAAAATAATAAAAGAAATTAAGAATAAAAAAGACAAGTTAAAAAACAACACAGATACATTCGAGGAATAATGTTCAACTATTAAACTTATTGCTTAGTTTTAGAACTAAGAAATCTTCTTAAAAATGTTTCAAGTTCAAAACAATGCTGTTTCAATGCTTTTGGAAATACGTAACCAGTTTTGAACTCGAAACAACTAATTTATTAATCTCTGAAGTCATAAGCAATAAAAGGCTACTTTGCTGCATGTAAAAAACTTCGTTAAAAACCTATACCGTGTGCGGGCTCTGGGAAGTCGGGGGGGGGAAGGGAGGTGGGGTGTTGGGGGGGAGGGGGGATATATAGTATGTGTTAGATTTTAAAGTACTGTTGCTCTTTAATTTCACTGTAAAAATAGGACAAGCTGAATATATTAATAGATAGTAGAAATACACCGAAGGGAGGAGTAGAGGGATAGAAGAAAGAGGGGTAGAGAGAGTGGGAGAGAGGATGGGAGGGAGGGTGAGAAGGAAGGGAGGGAGTGTACTGGGAGTGAGGAGTGGTAGAGGGGGAGGGGAAGTAGGGTAGAGGGGAATGTTGGAGGGAAGATGGAAAGTTGGAGGGGGGCGAAAGAAAGGGTGTATGGAGGGTCGAAGAGGTACATTGGGTTTCTATTTTGGGGGGTATTGTTGACGAGGAATGGCTGTGTTTATTGTTTAATGTTATATGGCCCCGGTTATGCACAGTATATATGTGGCTGTACGAAATGAAAATGGAAAATAAAAACACATTTACAAGAATTATTATTAAAAAAAAACAGAACTTTGCTATACTATTATAGGAAATTGATGCATAATTTAATTAGAACAAAAAGCAACTTTATTAAAAAATAATGTCCATATAGAGAGGTGGTCTTATCCGGTATATGAAAATGGAAATGAAAGAAGGGGAATAAAGTATTGAATTACTGTAAAGCAATATAATAAAAAGGTACCCTCTGAAGAACACCAGATTGGAAGTGTAAAATTGGTACAAGCAGAAGTATTTCAAGAAAAATGAGGAAAAAGCAAAGACAAGTCTGTTCTAAAACAGGCAAGTATCTGCTTGTCCAAATCCTTACTGAAGGATTTTTAACAATAAGCAGCAGCATCCAGTGCTCATGATTTATTTTTATAATGAATTTTTGAAGATTCCCACAGTTATGTTTTCTTTTGTACAACTGCAGGTGAGGTGGATCTAATAAAAAAGATAATAATCACTTCAGTGTTTTGGGAATCTGGTGATATATATATATACCATGAATAAATAAAATGAATATTTATTTATTGAATTTATATTGCCGCCTATTCGCCCATGGCAACTCAAGGCAGCTTACAAAATATAAAACCACATTTAAAGCAATAAAAAATAACAAAAAGAATCAAATAAATTAATATAGTACAATATAACAAAATCAGCTCCCCCCCCCCTCGCACTAGCAACAACAGATCACACGAGCCATTGAATGGGCTCCATCCCACTCTGGGTTCCCCAAGCCCACTGGCAGAAACAGGTCTTCAGTGCCTTCCAGAAGAGTAATGGGGGCCGTTCTAATCTCTGAGAGAATGATGTTCCAGAGAGAGGGAGCCACCCTAACCCTAACCCTTCTTCTGGATCCCACAAGATGTATCTGAATCGGAGAGTATATATATTTGAACCCAGATACACCTTGAATGATCTCTACTAATAGGAAATAAAAACTTTCCCCTAAACCTTAGTTCTTTCAATAGATTGTAGAATGTTAGAATAAAAGAACAGGAAGGGAAAGTGTTCTTATAACTGTATCTCTTAAGGCAATACAATGTTTATAAATAAGAAAATGCTAAATGCTGTCATAGCAGATACATCCTTCAGTACAATAAGACAAGTCAATGACATCACCCTATGTCTTTTTTGAGTCTCAAAGTTTGCTGCAGACATTGCTAGAACCTATCACATGAATTTTGGCAAATGTAAGGATAACATTTGGAACAAAATTCATGTTGCCTGAATTTTATTCCAGATATTATTTTTACATTTGCCAGAGTTGAATCAAGTGAACTCAAGAGTCCTTTCATTTATAAATATGATATTGTTTTGCTTCGAAAATCAGCATTTCTGACTGTAATCTTAATACTTTAAACTTTTTCCAGATATTTTTGGTATACTAACTCAAGGAATTGCCAGTCTGATTAAGCTACCATCCCAATTAACAGCTAAATATCTTCAAGTTGGAGATCAATATGCTGAAACTACAAAAGAGGTTTGTGTGCCTTTTGAGGAGATAATAATAAAATGCAAGTATTTTGTTTGCAAATTAAATCCTTGGGTTTGTAATCTTTTGTCTTCTGGAATAGTAACATGTTTAAATAGAGAGAATGGAATATATCATTTCCAGAAGTTGGAAGCTATTCAAGCTAACACATATATTTTCTCCAGTTCGTCCCAGTAAAAATAGTTGGGCTGAGAAATAGAGGCCCCAAAGTCACAGTGAACTTCTGTATTTGGGAATTGATGTCAGCCTTGTGTCCTCAGTCTTAGCATTACTATCTTAACTACCTCTGCCTTATTTCACAAGCAGCAAAGCAAACTCTAAACAAGGATATCTTCTTTGGTTTCCTTTTGCTTCTTCAGAAAAAAGGCAAAGCAAACAAGTACTCTTCTTGCTGGTCCTTAAGACTAGCTCTAGAGCTGCTGAATGAATGCAGGAGAAATGAGTGCTAGTGAGTGGGGAAAAGCTTTCATTGTTAAGAGATGAACAGGAAAGCAACATTCTTCCATATGTAATGCCAGGCTCTTTTACAGCTTTTTGGTGGCAGCTTAGAGAGTACTGGTCTACATTTTTAGGTAAAGCAAGTATGTTATTCTTCTAGGGAATGAATTAGTGGATCTTAAAGGGAAAAGTCCCTGATGGTCCTATTGATGGCACCTATATAGTTCTAAGACCACCTAGATTTTGTGGCTGAGGGCCTTTGTTTATTTGACATAACTGGAGTAACACTAATGCAAATATTTTCAAGTTTCTTTCAAATGCTTCTGATGCCTTGGCTGACAAGCAGATGCAACCTAACTGTGGGATGCAGATGTGTAACTTTGGTAAGTCAATAGATACTGTGGCTTTATTTCAGATCCGGTTATTCATTTACCTTTACAATAGTTGCAATTATTTTTGTGTTTGGTGAAGTACTTAACTCTCATATGGCATATTATAAATTGAAAAAATATTGATGTTGATTTTGATTAAGAAGAAGCTCCTGTTATGATTCCTTTAAATTAGTTTGTGCTATTGATTTTACTTGCACTAAGATGTAATTTACTCTTACACATGATAGGCCATTGCTTATAGGTATTGGGTCTACACTGAATGTTCTTAAGTAGTTATGGGCATTTCTTTTACCATTTCCTTCCCATATATGCTTTGTATATATTGAGCTTTTCTTGTTCTTCCATGCTGTATTATATAACTTTTGTATTGTTTGTGTTTAGATCAGTTGATGAAAAGTGTTCTAGAATGCTGCAGTTTCCTTATAAGTCAATTGTTGGCAGACTCAGTGGACCACATCATACAACCATTCCTAGCCAATATATCTGCCTATGACAATGAGTTTTGCTATGTCTTTGATATGACAGACTTGAATAATTCTTTGGAGTAGAACCATATAAGATAAAAAGGATGAGTGTTGTCTATGGAATTAGTTGCGATGAATCTTACTATCTTTTCCATAGACAAAAAAGCAAGTTATGGTACCTGTATTCATCCAGATGTAGCATCTAACTCTCGTATTCCTGTGACTTATATGAGGTAAAACCTTTAATTTGCTCTGGTGGCCAACAGAGAATGAAATTCTAAGAACACATGGCCATTATAGTACTCCCCTTTGGAGTTTTTTCTCTGTCTAACATAAATAATTAGTGATGAACTTAGCATTATACAAAAATGTGCCATATTACACAATACCAAATAACACGAGTTGGAAGTGACCTCGGAGGGCTGGGAATATCTAATCTGATGAAGAGAAGGACTAGGGGTGACATGTTAGTATTCTTGCAATATTTAAGGGGCTGTCACAGAGAGAAGGGGTAAACCAATTCTCCAAAGCATCTGAGGGCAAGACAAGGAGTAATTTATTTATTTATTATCAAAATTTATATGCCGCCCAATCCCAAAGGACTCCGGGCGGCTTACAAAAAAAGAGAGAGAAAAAATGGAAGCTTAATAAAGAGAGAATCAACCTAGAATTTAGGACAAATTTCCTTAAAAATAGTTGTTCATTGAAACGACACCTTTATAAATTGTGGGTGCTCCATTACTGGAGGTTTTAAAAGATAGCCATTTGTTCAGTGTTTTGCTTATACACACACATACACGCACACAGATGTATTGGATATATTCACCACCATATTCATCATATCTTTATTATTATTATTATTAAAAGATTACACACACCCCACACACACAGCAACAATTCTATGGGGTGGTTTGAGTTGAGAGAGTAATCAGCCCAAAGACCTCCCGCTTGCTTTGATGGCTAAGGCTGGGCTTGGACTCACAGTCTCCTGCTTTCTAGCCTGGTGCCTTAACCACTAAGTCACCAATCTGGCTTTATCCTCAGCCTCAATTTTGAATGCAAGAAGAATTAATGCATATTTCTTACAAAATATTCTTTGTTGGGCATTGTACATGAGATATAAACCTGCCTTACAAGGACTTTTCATTTATGGATGTAGATAAAATACTATAGAAAAATTGTTTCTAAATTGTATAGAGTTCAACATCAACTCTATACATTTGGCCATGAAGCATTATGTGAACTTTGGGGGTGGGTGGGGGTGGAATGAATAATCAGGGGAAATTTGTGAAAAATGGGCTATAATTAATTATACTTTCTCCGGCATATTTTAATGTGCAAAATAACAGTAGCTTGAATTATTGTGACTGAAATAATATAAATAAGAATGATTCTTCTTCAGCAATCCTCAAATATATGTCTTTTCAAAATGACATGTTGTTATCCAAATAGAAATGCAAATTTCAGCAGTTTTTATATTATTTCTTCTACCAGAGATGACTTTAGTTTCAAAAACAATCATAAGAAAAATCATAATGTGCTTCAAGAGGATTTGCGGCCATGGGGACATATTACTCGCAGACATTCATTAGAAGCTTCTGCTTTAGAGACTGGAAGGTATCTAAGGAAACCTCATTATACTGTTGAAGAGGCAAGTCTGCAGATATATAAACTTGTACTTTAAATCATCTTTTATAGCACTACAAAATATTTGACTATGGTGCTTGATTCAGTGATGTGAAAGCAGTTTCTTTCAGGCAGAATGTATTTTAAACTGATTGAGCTATATTAAGATTTATAGTTTCTATGTTCAGCCTAAGAATTGGAAGAATATATGTAATACTTATCCTATGTAGAATTTTGATTGAAGTCAAGACACTTCTACCTCATGTTCAAGCAAACTAATATTTTCAGTGGTGAAATTCATTTTTTTTTACTACCGGCTCTGTGGGAGTGGCTTGGTGGGCGTGGCAGGGGAAGGATACTGCAAAATCTCCATTCCCACCTCATTCTGGTGCCAGCCAGAGGCGGCATTTGCCGTTTCTCCGAAGTACTCAAAATTTCTGCTACTGGTTTTCAGAACCTGCTGGATTTCACCCCTGAATATTTCTTACCATGACAAAGTACTTTGTTTTTGTTGCCTTTAGCGTCTCACTTTTGTAAGTGTAATTTTGGGTCATTCATTTTTGTAACTAATGGCGCGGTGTATGTTCCAAGTGATTCAGTTGTTTGGATCTTTGAGAGAAGCTGCTGACATTCTGTTCATGCCTAATAGTGAATATTTATGTTGGCAGTAATAATACTAGGATGCTTATTTAAGGAAATAGTCCAATTTCATCTTTTACATGTGTGCTTTTTTGTATACATATGTGCACAAACACAGTAATGCAGGTACACCCATCCTTTCCTTTAAAGGGCCCAGGATATTCTAATTAGGGCAATTGAGTGATATTCTCTAAATTCAATAAAAGAGTAATTCAGCCCCAATGCCTTTATCAGTCCAGATATCTCTTTGCCTGCTTAATTTCCTAGAAATTTGGAAAAGCAAGGACCTGCACAGAATCAATGGCTGGAGAGAAGCTGCTTAGAGATAGTCCTGTCTGATGGCCTGGTTGCCTCTGTGTTCCAATAGATTAAAGCAGGATTCAACATATATGTCCTCCAGATTTCTCGGGAAACCCCAAATAGTGTCTGAAACCACTGCAGATCCATAAGGCTTCTGAAGTGAACCATCGGAGCAAGTCTTTCCTCCTTGCTGAGTCTGATGGCTCTAGTTAGGAGAGAAAATAAAGATCACTAGAAAGTCCAATCCTATCTCAACTGCTGCAGGAAAAAGGCCAGATCTAATAGGTAGCTAGAAAAGTAGGCTGGCCAGTGATGACATAGTTGTTGCGACTGTCAAAAGTTTTTGAGCTTTCTTCAAATCCAGGAGGAGATTTAAATTGCCAGTATCAATAGTCTGACAAAATCCATAAGCACTCCCTACAATAAGATCAAACAGCTTGGGAAGAGATACTGTCATGTAGTTGGACAAGCAGTAGAATTGCAGCAACCTCAGTCTGCCTCTTTGGCCCTGCCTCACAATCCTAACATCACATCTGCTAAACCTGCAGAATAGTGTTTACCACAATGCCAAAGGTTTTCAGATACATGGCAACTCCTCTGCCTCGAAGGTGGGACTGATACCAAGTACAGAACTTTGCTGAAGGAATCTCAGGAAGGAGGAGCTTTCATTCATCTAACTAAATGTCAGAAACCCATGCTGGTTTGCCCTCCCATCCACAGTCATGTCTTGCACAGGGAGACCTACATTCAAAAACATCTGCTTGAGGCTATTCTAGCAATCCAGTTGCCTGATTCCTGCATTGACATTAGTGGGTAGGAAATAGATAAAATGATTTCTCCTGTTTTATAGAATGAAATCTAAAGCATAGTACCAAAGTGCACACTTAAAACATGAATTTTAAATATTATGTTTATTATGCTCTTAAACATAATCGTAATACTTGTTTTATCCTAGGGAGTTCAAAGACTGGAGCAAGAGAAATACAGAGAACTACTTAAGCAAGAAAAAGAAAAGAGTCTTAAAATTCACTCGTCTGGTGCAGTAACAAAATACCATGAGTAAGTTTTTGCAGAAAAATAATATTTAAAGTGAGGTTATGAAATAAACTGGAAAAGCAATTGGAATTTTGGCTGGATATTGTGAATTGGAAATCCCATCCTAAAGTATATGATGCAGTAATATTGGTTGCTTTCATATTTCACTCTAAGCTTAAATCAAGACTTAATGAATTAGAATGTCCACTAGGGGTCCTGTTTTACCATTTCACTTCTCCCTTCATACATGTGGAAAAACAAGTCAGGATCACATTTAACCTGTTTCTAGAAGTGACATCTGAAGTGCAGATGTGTGTTTCTAAGCTAAATTTAAAGCTGTTATAAATTCAGACTTGTTTGCAATTTTTACATGTGATATTAACCTGTTAAAATGTGAAATATTATTTGTTATCTATATAAAGGCTTTTAATCTTTCAAATCTATGGAATATTTACTGTATAACTATTAATTATTAAATTACAGTATTAAATACATTGATATACAATATGCAATATGTGGATTAAATTCAATGCCATGCTTTACTGTCAAAAGTTTTTTCCTTAACAAAACACTACTTGTTTGTTCTTTTGAATGCATTGAATAAAGTGTCCAAGATTATGCCACTGGATCCCTAAAGTTTGATCTCATCCCTCCATCAGAAATGCCAAGAAATGGTAAGTAATAATAGTGAAAAAATTATATGACAGCAAAATAAGTTACAATCTAAGTGGGATATTAAAGGAAGAATTGGAATCTTTCTAAAGATGTATAGTTATTATAAGTGAAAAAAGAGATTAAAGTATAATAAAAATACCTGATAATGTGTACTCTGGCTGAAATATAATTACAAGCTAAATGCATATTCACCTTTGTACTTTAGTTGTCAATATTTTTTTTACTTACAACCTTGTCATGACATTTCATACTGGTAAACATTCGATATGTTATAATTCAGGATCTGTCACTTGCTTTTCTTAGTTTATAAAAATGATCTCCAGTTTTTGTATCTTTAACCCTTTTACCGTATTTCCCTCTTAAACTTGTCTCAGAAGCCTTACAATAAGCATTTACTTTGCTTGCTATATTTGAGTAGATTAAAATGAGTTATCTTAAAGTTATCTGTCCAATGGATTAAAATAAACTATTTAATCGAGATAACATTAATTACCTAGTCCGCATGATCTCAACAGCTCATCTAAATTAACTTATTTGTTAGATTTTTTAAATGCTATTTTTTTCTTCAAGAACTGACATTGCAATTCATACTTTAATTTTTTCACACAATTGTTACCAAATGAAGAAGGTGGGGTTGAAAGACAATCTCTTGCCCAGCCATTTAGTGAGGATTTAAACCCATAATCAGCTGCTCAAATACTACCCCACACTGGTATATTCCATCTTTAAATTTTCCATTTCTACATTTAAACTTCGGTCATCTTGACTATTCCTCTTAACTTAATGACAAGGCAGGTTCAGTTTGGAAGAGGTATTTTGGAAAACGTGTGTGGATCCAGCATCTTTCTGCAACTCATTAAAAGAGCTGAATTTTTTTCAGGATTGAATAGTTGCTGAGAGGGAGGTACTTTGATGTATTCCAATACCTTTTTCCAAATCAAATCAAAACATTGTCTAACCCCTACTGCATTATAATAGTATCAGACGTCATCTAAACTTTCTAAAAAAAGGAATATTTCCTTCATGTCAAGCTCAATTCCCAATAACTTCATAGACACAACCATGCAGTTTTCCTAGTAAAAATACAGGTGGTCTGACATTGTCTCCTTTATGGTATCCTTGTCACTTTGAATCTGTCCTGCTAGTACTGTAAGGAACTAGCTTTGAAGTTTATTACTTTTTCTTTGCAAAGGAATAAGAAAGAAAGTATATTAATTTTTATTTGAAGTAAGCAAGATGATTCTTATATTGGTGCCTGTAGACATCACTTTTGACTCTCAGCAGGTTTGTGCTTCATCTGATTTTTTTTATTCCTTTAATTAAAAAAAGGAACTGTTAATGACAACACAGGTAGTTCTCAACTTAAAATCATTCATTCAATTACGGTGGTGCTGATGAATGATGATGAACGGTCCTTGGCATTCCAGCCGTGCTAGCACCCTACAGTCATATGATCGTGATGTGGGCACTTGGCCACAACTTTGGACTTAATGACTGGTTGCAGTGTCTGGTGTTCATAAGATCACAATTTGTAATCTTCCCTGCTATGCTCAAGCCAGCCACTGACACGCCCCTGTTGTACCCTCCCTGACCTATGCCATACCTCTAATGTACCCAAACTTTACTGCACCTCACACACACATCTAAGGGTACTTAGCTATATGTGAGCTAGAGAGAGTAGTGGAAAAAATGCTCATTAGTTTGCTTTTTCATGAAACCTAATATGAGGATGTGATTGAAATAGGAGCAGGGAGACACAGTTTCTAATCTTCCCTGGAAAGAGAAGCTCACTGGGTGACTTTGAGCAGTTATTCCCTCTCAATCTCACCTATCTTACTGGATGGTGGTTCTAAGAAACAAAAAGGAGGGTGCATTATATATACTACTCTTTTTCTCTTAGACATAAAGCAGGTTATAAATCAAATGAAATAACAAAGTGGGACCATATTTGTCATTCGAATGTGTTGTCAAAATCTAAAATGTGCCCATTGGCTCTCAAATGTTACTTTATTCTTCAAATAAAATATTTGAATTAAATATTTGAAAAGTTTTATTGGTAAAAAAGATTTTGTTGTCTAGTTAATCTTGATTATTTAAGTAAGTTCCTGTTTTGGTAAATATCCTCCCCCCCTCTGAAAGATATGATTTCAATTTCTTGGTAATATTTTGTAGAAAGAGAGCCGTGCTAGTCTATGTTGGCTGAAAATTAAAAGGAATCTGGTGGGACCTTTTCAAACGAATTTTATTGACAGCCATAAGCTTCAGTAAATTTTGTTGCATCTAAAGTTGTGTAGTTCACAAAGGAATATGCCTTTTAAAAAATGTGTTAGTCTGAAAAAGTGCTTTTTGATTTGTAGTAATATTTGAAAAATATAAAATTTAATTCTGAGCAATTTTTATTAATGCACAGCTGTCATATAGGTTTATGCACTTTTGTATATGTGTATTTATCAGAAACCATTATCCAAAAAGAATCAAAAAGGCCTATAAGATGTCACAACAAACGTAATTGATCTCTCATCTATAGGTAACAATCATTATATGCACAAATTGATCTCACACTCATTTTAGTCGAAGCAGCAGAAGCAGCAGAAAAAGGGGAAAAAACTTAATAGAAACAAGGGAAAGGTAGGCGGTGGCTTCACTAAAAAAAAGCTAATAGTAGATGGTAGTGAGGCAAAAGGAAAATGGGCTTGAAAGAAAAGTCTTGTTTCTGAGTAAACAGCCCTTTTCAGCAAGGCCTGATCTTCAAGCATCCCAGGTTTTCAACAATAGTATCTGAAATCATTTGTACCTCCTGCCTATTTTTTTTTTCAGCAGGGTGTTTTCATTATCAGCAGATCAAACAAATTAAAATTGCTTCCTATTTATAGGGAATGAATTTTTGGTTTGCATCAATAACTGAATTCTTCTTTTAAAAGCTTTCTTTTCTAGGCTAATTAAAGAAGTGAAAAAATACATTGTAAAATGTGTGAGTCAATCAATGCTCCTTTAAAATATCATCAATGTGTAGGGAGGGCAACTGAGTTACCTTTATTATATCCTTTCTTTAAGGAATAAAAAACTTTGGTCACTTGGGCTCTAAAAATGAAATGAGCAGGTAAGTGAAAGTTCATTTGTTTATAATTTGTGGTTTTAAGAGAAGATTAGAAGCTAGGAAATATTTGCATCAGGTTTCACTTTTCTACTTTTTTCATGAGTAATGTCCTTTAGCATCAAGTGTCATAATGGGTGTTACATATTAGCTTTAGTACAGACTTACAAAACATACAATTTGAAGAGACAAATTAAAATGAAAAATTCCTTAATATTTTTCTATATTTTGAAAATATAGTGGATGTAGTATATTTTTTAAACATTTCATTTGATAATGCTGTTCTGGAGGTTTTCCAGTGAAAGACACAGTAATTTGATATTTTTAAGCTCTAGAGATATCCTTAGTACTGTGACTTAACATTGAGATCTGAACTTTACCTGAATTCTGTTAATAGATAAAGAGATTCTGGTTAAACAAAAGCACAAAAACAATGTTCTGTGTTACAACTTTGGTGAACCCATTATCTTCATTAGAAAAAAAGTATATAAAGTTTTAAATTAAATAACTGGTGGCACTTTCTTTGATAGCATTGGTTCCATCTAACATTTTCATTTTCTTGATAATCAGACCTGTACATGCAAATATTTATTTTGGCTCAATCTTTCTTACAGAATTGCTTTAACCTATTGATATCTTTGGGCTCTCTTGCATGAACTGTTTGCTTCTGATTATGCCATGAGATTCTGTTGGATTAAGTCCAGGGCTTTTTCATTCATTTCAAAATACATATTTTTTCTATTTTAGCCCTTCTATTATAAATATACTTGCTCTGTTTAGGATCATTGTTGCGTGGCTTGAGCCCAATTTATTTAACATTCAACTCACAGGCAGATACCCTGACATCCTCCAGTAGAATTGGCTAGTAAATTATATTGTTCCCTCAATGAACCTATTGTCCCCTCAATGAGAGCAAGGACTCTGCATCCTGAAGCTGCAAAGCAGCTGCAAACCATACCATTTCCACTGCTATGCTCGAGAGCTGGAGTTAAGTTAATGCAAGATTTGATTCTCTCCTAACGCCATGTTTCTCTTTAATGCATAAAACTTCTACTTTCAACTGATCTAACCACATTACAGAATTGATTTTTTGATGCAAAACTCCTTCTCAACTTAAGATGGGCAGGGGTGTGCTTTCTGATATAGTAACTTCATCCTTGATATCCTCCTGTAAATTTTATTTTTGTTCTTCAAAGAAAAACCAGACAGTCCAGTTGCCGCTTGAAAAAGCACATTTGGAATTACTTTTGTTCAGTGTTTTGTGTATGATAAATTTATGACTGCTGGCATCAGGCTACAGAGGAATGGCCTGTAGATCTTTTGCTGTTACCTTGCATTCTTTGTAGACTTTTGGAATATTATACACTTTGCTCTTGTGGTGAATTTTGTTGGACAACTATTATTGGGAATTAATCATAGTGTGCGTTTTTTCCATTTTTCCATTTTTCTGTTTGACCATTGATGGCAATTTTGTAAGCCTCCTATTCTGATGAGCATTGACAACTATTTTTCAAGTTCTGAGAGTCTCTCTGGATCAAGACATCATTCACTTCCATAAACCTGTGTCATGAAGAGCAGACTCAAAGAAAATGAGTATTGGCATAATGTATTCAGTAGATCATGACATGGTATTGTGTTTTGGTTTTTAATAAGAATCTCTTCTGGTTAAAAATATAGATAGTCTAGATCAGGGGTGTCAAACTCAAGGCCTGGGGGCCAGATCTGGCCCACAGGATACATAGATCTGGCCTGTGGGACTGCCCTGGGAACAGCAAAGGACCGGCCTACAGTGTTTCTGCCAGAAAAAATGGAGGGCTGTGGACGGACCTCCTGAGCTCCATTTTTGTTGGCCGAGGATTGTAGGAGGCCACCACAGCCTAAAACTGAGCTTGCAAGGGCTTCAGGTGGACCTCCTGAGCTCTGTTTTGACTGGCAGAGGGTTGCAAGATGCCGTTGCAGCTGAAAATGAAACTTGGGAGCCCGTTTTCACTTGCAGAGTGCTCAGGCCATCACAGGGACCTCTGACACAAGTGATTTTGAGCTGGCCACAACCACCCTGACCACATACCCAGGCCCCGCAGATCAAACACAACCCTGATGTGGCCCTCAATGAAATTGAGTTTGACACTCCTGGTCTAGAATAGATGAAGGTCTCATCCAATTTATAGAGCCTAGAGTTGCAGAATCAACTCTAATTCTAACATGTTAACACACTTTCTCTGATCACTGTACTACTTAACATTTACAGATTTTAAATATTGAGCCAAACTTTTAATCCTAGATCCTTTTTTATATGGTTGTGATTTTCTAATACATCAGCAATAAAATTTTTGTGTTAAAGGATGAGCCACTGAACAATGTACAAAATAGTTCTGCTTCATTCTTTGTATTCCACTATAATTGACATTTACAGGGTTATTCTTAAGGTCTACATTACCTTAGCAGATGCTTGTAAAATGCTTATAAAATTCTTACCGATAATAAAAGTGTTTCTTTCTACTTTTGTAATACTCCCAGTAACCTCTTTTGTCTCCATGTTTCTGTCAGATCAATAATAACAAAAAGAACAACAGAACATGAAAAGGTATTCGAACAGAAAAAAGAGGTGAGATGCCCTCTTTATCATGACACTTTTTTTCTTTTTTCTTTTTCTTTTAAATTTTATTAATGCCATCATTAATTTTCAAATGCCATTCAGGCTGGTCTTCTGAAAATTTTCAACCAAGTATTATTTTTCTTGCACCTCAGAATCTTTTCCTTTTCAATCCTTTTCCTAACAATAATAATTTGCAGTCTCAAATATCCCCTGCTAGAATGCCTCTGGGTTTCTCAGCCTGGCCTTTCTTCTGCTTTAGGATAGTGACTTAATAAATCCTATTGCCATTATTTTCTAAAGTAGCCTCATCTAGTATTCTAGTCCCCTATCCCTGATGTGTCAGAAGGAGAAGGCTATCACACTCCATGCTGTGTTAAATATACAAAAAACAAGCACTTTTCTCCCTTCTAGAATAATGTCACCAGAGATTTAAAAAATCAAACTTATTTAAAAATATGAAGAATCCTTCCTATTTCAATATTAAAATGCAAACATTAACTTTGAGAAAGACAAATTACAAAGGTCTCAAATCACAATGATACTACTGAGAATTTAAGTAAAAAGGAGCTATTCTCCTTAGTGGTCTTCTGCCAGTGGTCGTCTGTATAATAGGATGAGATAAATTTTCCAAATTAAAATTACTAATTTGAAGAAAATCCTAAAGAGGATCCCCTCCCCACCGGGATCCTAGTTTAAGTATAAAGTATAAAGAAAACAATTTGTTGTGTAGAATTGTGTGGAGATGGCCTTGAAGACGGGATTCAATTACCGTTATCTAAATATTAGCTTAGCCCAAATAGAGGGGATGGAACAAGGAAAAAATTCCAGATTGCCCTAGCTTGATTCTATTTGGAATAAGAGAAGAGAGAGAGAGAAAAAAAACTGTTAAGCTTTTAAGATTCTATTATTATACCCTATAATGGTAGAGTTCCAATTTTTTTAATGTCTTTAAATTGTTACGGCCACCTACTTGAACAGATTATGGGCCACTTACAAAGTCCAAAAAAGCAGTTTAAAACATAAGAAGGACAACTCTGGCTTAACAACCATAACAACAACAAACTATAACAGTGCTTCCACAAACCCCAGATCTTAAAACCTTTCCCACACCTCAGGAAAGAGCACACTGTCCATATCTCTGAGGGATATGCTGTTCCAGAGGGCAGGGTCTGTGATAGAGATGTCACACATTTTCCTAGCCCTGCAAGATCACAATGTTTTGTAAAGGGCCCCCGGTAGTACACTCATTATCTCAAAGATGGGGTGTGATTATTGTTTAAAATCTCTTAGCCACATTTGGGTAACTTTTGTGAATACTGTGTTCTTGAACCATTTGTCAATCTTAATAAATTAAGATTTAAATACCTGGCATAATGTTATATCCTTTTTTCCTGCCCATCTGATTGGAAGGGGATTTCCTAATTTGTTGTTTTATAAAGAAGCTTTTGATGGGATTCTTTTGTCTTCTGAAGGATTCCTTTCCATGAACAATTCAGTTACAGACTTTGTTTTGGCAATTTCTTTTTTCCATTTTCTTTACAGAGGCCTATGCAGCCTTTGATGGGAAATGATCTATCAGAAGAAGTATCGCTTAGATTAAGCCTGGTCCAGAAAGAATCATCATGCAGAAGACGTTCTCTGGTTGAAATAAGAGAAACGTATCTGAGTTTGGAAAAGGCTACAGAGTGCTTCCCTGAGTTTACAAAGGTAGGCATTAAAGGACTAAGTTTACCTGAAATTAGTTCCAGAAATGTCTGGAATCTGTCTTTATTGCCCCCAATATAGGAATGTAACTTGTTTCAAGAAATAGTCATTCAAATTAGATAATACCGAAACTATTATTTTCAATATTTAAAGTGTGTTAAAAATAAGATATTTGTGTTCACTTTTTTCTTTACAAGATAAAACAACCTGAATATGTTGTTTCTACCCTCGCTTCACTTCTTCAAAATGACTAAGTTTAGTTTTAATATTAACTGTTTATGACCTTCATAGTATTAAATGTTCTTCCAGGGTATGGAAAAAGAGGTAGCAAATGCTCTGAGCTATGGTCAAGAGGATGAAATTTTGACTAGCGCCTTCAAGCTGAATATTACGCGAAGAGACATTCAAACGTTAAGAAACCAACAGTGGCTCAATGATGTGGTAAAATAATTTTACTCATTAGTAGCTAAAGTTTTATTAGTCCTTTGTTGTAGAAACAACTATAGTGCCCTATCACAGTGTTGGAAAGCTTCTGATCTAGACGCCTAAATTGCCCATCAGACCAGTATTTCTGGCTTGCAAAATGTTGAGTGAAGTCACCTTTCTGCTTTTAATTTCCCTCAGAAGAGACAGATGAAAAGGCAGCGCAGTGCCACTTCATCTGCTTCATGACAGTTTGTCCAGTGTGCATCGTTTCCTCCAGAAGGAAAATGTGATGGCTTTTAAAGCTTGTTTCATCACATCTTATTCAGGGCAGGTGGAAACTGGAATTGGCCTCTGGACTGGATTAGGTCCCTTTTTTGCCTATTGAATTGTAACTTCCTGAGCCCTTTGTATGTCTTACAGGAAGTTCTAATATAACGACTACAGTCGAACTCAGTAACTTGGTCATTAAGTGAAGTAGTTGTTAAGTGGAACTGCAGCTTTGCTTCTGATTTTACTCCAATTTTTCTTTACAGGCCTGTAAGGTTATAAAAGTGAGGATTGGTCACAAGGTTACTTTTTCTCACTGTATAATTGCAAATGATCGCTATACAAGGCAGTCATTAAATGAGGACTGTTTGTACACTATTTCAAGTGTACTAATAAAAAAGCAGGGCTATTTTTCAAGAATACAAATATTCCACTAAAGGCTTTGTGGGAATATCTATAAAAATATCCCTGAGAATTAATTGCATTTTATTAGTACATTTGAAATAGTAGATGTGTATTTATGTATGTCTATTTCCTCCTCTTATCTTGTCTCTTCTCTTTGATTATAGGTCATTAATTTCTATATGAATCTTTTGGTTGAGAGAAATAAAATGCAAAGATTTCCAGCACTTTATGCTTTCAGTACTTTCTTCTATTCCAAGCTAAGTTCTATGGGTTATAATGCAGTAAAAAGATGGACCAAAGAAGTTGACTTATTCCAGCATGACATAATCTTGGTGCCTATTCATATCAGACTACACTGGGCATTGGTGGTAAATATATTTTGGCTTTTCTGGAATTCTTTGGGTGGTGAGGATATAATTTGATGGTAGCCTGCCAGATTCTACTAAAATCTTCACTTTGTTATAGGTTATAGATTTGAGGAGAAAAACTATCAAATATTTTGATTCAATGGGACAAAATGGCATCAGGATCTGCAGGAGATTGTTGTAAGTAGATATCTAGTAGTACAAAAAATATCCCTTTTTACTTTTTCTATTAGATTGGTAAAATGAACCATTACTTCTGTTGACTGCTTTAAAATTTAGGTGGATATTTTTTTCACTATGTATGTATGAAAAATACACTCATTACCTCTGAGTGATGATCTTAATTCTTGGGGAAAATGTAATCACTGTTTGTTATGATTTTATTGAACAGACAATATCTGCAAGAGGAAAGTAAAGCAAAGAAAAACCAGGACATTAATGTTTCGTCTTGGACACTTCACAGTATGAAGCCTCATGTATGTGCAACTGTTTTTTCTCCCCATTTTACTGTGCATCTCTAAGTTCTAAACTTCTAAAATGGTTGTTTCCGCAAGATTCAAGTATTTCATTTCATTTCATTTATTGAATTTCTAGGC